CTATATAAATATAAAATAAATATTATATTATTAATTAAACAAAATTTATATTAAACTATAAACTTACACTTTGATTTCGGCATAGAATATGAACAATATAAAATATATTTTCTTCATTTTCTTCGCCACTAATTTCTGGACTTGCATAGTCAGGTTTTATTACCTTTTCAACATCAGATAAAGAATAACCTAATTTATCTAGATCTATAAGTTTTGCACACTCATGTCATTTTTTTGCTTTCTAATATATATATATATATAGAATTAATGCAAATGATATTACTGGTAATTAATATAAAGTTGTACAAAGATTAAAAATATTTCATAAGCTGTATATACCTGAATTTTTCATACTCTTCTTCTATTAAACACTTTATTACTTTTGATTTTTTCTTTTAAAGAACTATATTATTTATGAAGATATCCAACATATCTGATAATTATATCCCTTATAACATCTTCATTCTATAACTCTTTTTGTCCTATTATTTATTTAAAAAAATATATTATTCAAATATATATATATATATAGAATACTTATATATATTTACGTAAATCTTTACTTCTTTTAATATAATCTTCCAGATAAAATTTTATATAATTATTTAATCTTTCATGATTATACCAATCACCTGGTGGTTTTTCTAGATTAAATGTGAAGGAAATTTTATCTATATTTTCAGAAACTTGATGACTATTTATCTTGTGACATATCAAATTTTACAAAGTAGGATGTGATGCAGAATACCAAGTTAAATTCTTAACAGATTTATTTTTGGAATTAATTATTTCAGAAAGTGGCTTGTGAGAATTTTCAGTTCTAATTTCTTCAAGGATATTTAATATATTTTTTTGATCGTCAGTATATTCAATAACTTTATCTTGTATTTCTAAGATATTCATGCTTAAAGTAGAAAAAATATCTTGAAATGTTGTGTTTAAATTATTATATATATCTTGAAGCTTTGTAACTTGAATAGAAATAGTTTCTTGATGTTGCTCAAATACTTCATTAATATGGTTTAGTTTGGAATTAGTTTCATTTAAATTTTTGAATACAGTATCTAGTGCTTTAGCAATTCTTTTCATAATTGATGGTGTTGAAGTTTTCAAACCAGAGGTAGCTTGGTTAATATTATTCATCTGTAAATATGTATAAAAAAAAATATAGCAAATACATAAAAAAAGAAAGAGTAAGAAATATAGCAAATATGTAAAAAAAGAAAAAAAGAGTAAGAACAAAAAAAAGAAAAAAGAATATTATATTTATATTTAAATAATTTATATAATCAAAACAAAGATCGGGCTTTTAATTTTTACTTTTCAGTGACTTGTTTAGTTTTATACAGTCTATACTATCAAATTGCATATACTTTTTAAATGCATAAAAAAATTCCAACTTTTAATTATTAACGCAAAAGTGATTCTTATTAAATATATATATATTATCTA